TAATTAAAACACTAATTTTAAAAACACATTTACAATTTACATAGAGTTTTTGTTTTTTATTATTTTATGTTGTACAATAAAAAACAATTTTTTTTCATATTTTATAATTAACTTTATTCATGTATTATGAAAATCAAATTTAAAATTTTTATTTTTATTATGATAGAATTATCATTGAATTATTTAGATTTTTAAAATTTTAAATTAATTTGATTCTTTAATACCAATGCAAAAATTGTATTTTGGGTTATAATGTATTAGCATGTGCCTAGCAAATTAAGCTAGAGACTATTTGACTTAACTTATAATTTTTATCAAAGTTTTATTTGAGTATTTTTTTGTATAGAAATGGTGAATCATTGATTATGTTTTTAATTTGTAGTTTGACGTAGAAAAAGCCTTATTATATTGAAAAAGGGTTTTTCATCTAATAATTTATATCTTATAATTTGTTATAATTTGAACGATAAAATATTAAACTTTTTCATTTATTTAAACAATTTCTTAAGAAAAAAAATTCTTTGGCCTTTACCACCACTACAAAAAAACATTAAGTTCCTTTTTTTTGATAGAGAAACATCCAGAAATTTCTTAATTCCATTTTCCGTTTCATACTAGCTTTTCTTTCTCCTTTTTTTTTTTTTTTCTCCAAATCAAACAAAAGAAAAAGAAATTAATAAAGTTGAAAAAGAATAATAAGGCAACAAGCCAAACACTGCTGCAAAATTCCCAAAATAGCACCACGAAGACCCGTAGAAAAGAAAAAATCCTCGTGGACATTTCCGTCATTTCGCCCATTAAATCGAAGCTCCGACTTCGAACGCGTGTGGTCTGGTCTCCCTCATTAATCAAACCGAACTCAAGGCAAAGCGTAAATCCTCTCCCTATTTCTCTCCACAGCAAAACAATTCTTCTGCTTTCTTTTTTCTCCTCTTTATTCTTCTCCTTCTTCGTCCACTCCTCAGCAATTCAACTCTCCCTCCATGAAAGCTCGAGTCTTTTCTACAAGGTAAGTAAAACAAATCTTCCCTACCATGTCTCTGTTTTTTTTTTTTTTTTTTCCATTTATTTTTGGTGTGTTTTCTTTGGTTTTATGGGTATGAAGAGAAAAAAAAAAAAAAGAGAGAAAAAGTTGACAAATTGACAATCGAGGGTAATAACCAAGACAACCCATTTGCCCAGGTTTGCGTCTGTACGTGGGTTTTAACGTTCAAGTTATTCTATAGAGGTTAGCACATATTTTTCACCACTCATTCTCTGCATGTTTCTGCTCTCTTTTTGGACTGAAATATGTCTTAATGTAGTCCTTTTAGCATTCTTAATTGTGTTTTAGCTCTTTATTGCTTGAACGTAATCGGTTTCCATCATAATTTTTAGTAAACAATTGGTGTCTTGTCTTCGTTGATCTACTTTTACTTGAATGCTGCATGTTTCGATGTGATTCCGCTATAGTTTCGTATATCCACAGCTACAAGGTAGTTGGGTTGGATTAAATTTTCATTTTTTGTTGTTTCTAGTTTGTTTAATCGGCACATGAACATGAATCATGCTTAGATATTTGTTCCGACAGGGTTCGGGTTCCTGTTCCTTTTGTTCAAACTTTTCTTGATGGCTTTTTGTTGGTAATTTGATAGCAATAGTGTATTTGCAATCTGTATATAGTTATATACCCCACAAGCTCATATGATTTTTGGATTAAGGGCTTGCTTTTATTCTATTTGGAAAAATATGTTGGATTCTATGTTCATTAACCTGGGTTACTACAACTTATGTGTGTGCGTGTGTTTTTTTTTTTTGTTGGTGTTAATTCTAGCAATTTATGATAGTTCTGATCTTTTTGGTAATGATCTTAGTGTAATATTTATTTATTTATTTTTGAAAAATATGTAATTTGATTTACTGCAGTTTACTTTGTTCTAAGCAGTTGGGGTTCTGACTAATTTCTGTCATGAACAAGGAAAACTGAAAAAGTGCGGGACCTTTTCCCTTAACATTTAAGTAGTGTATGAAAAATTTTTTCTGCCGAAGAGAATTCTGCTTCTTTTCTTTTGTCTCTTTATGATGGTTTAAAATATGCTAAAAAGAAATCATCTTTAGCACATAAGAGGGTTTGACATTATTAGTTAAATGTTTTAACGTCTTTTTTTTTTTTTTTTGGATCGGCAATGTTTTAATGTTTGGCATTAGAATGAAGAACATGTATAAAATTCAGTCTCAAAATTTGGAAAAGTTTCTATTTTTTCTCCTAGTTGCTATTAGTGAAGCTTACTTCTGCATTAATTGTATCCTAGTTTTGCATTCAGAAGCTCCCTTTTCTTTGCAAGGAGAGAGGCAAATTGGTGCTCAAGGGTAGTGATATGCTGTGACATTTTAATCAAAAAATCATCGTCCACTTAAATTTCTATGTTAAGTTTCCCCTGAAGTTTGGCAGATAGACACTATTTATTTGGATAATAAGATGGGAGACATAGAAGATGAATCTGCTGAGCAATTACTTTCTTCATGTACTTCTATGGATGACATTGTCGGAGATCAGCCAATGCATCCTTATGTTGGAGACCAATACCAAGCTGAAATCCCACCACTAATTGCAGAATGCCATCGTCTGGCACTTATAAACAAACCAATTTATGCAGAAGTCCCAGATTCTATTTCAGTGGGATTGCCAATTCCTCTTATGTGGTTGAATTCTGAAGTGGAAAGATCCTATGGTGGGGTGGAATTTGTAAACAGTGAAGAGAGCCGGCTTACCTCAAACAATGAATTTTCAGAACATAAAGCTGAGGACCTGGATTCAGAGTTGCAGAATGAGAAAGACATGAGAGGCTATTCAAACATTCAACCTACAGCTAGAGGTCACCAGATGGAGATTGATTCTATCTCATCAAAAAGGGAGAAAACTAAACTAGATGATGTAGACAGAGGTCTCTGTCCTCTTCCTGGCTCTTTAGGTGAACCATGGAAGGATAGCGAACGTGACATTTTTCTTCTTGGTCTATACATCTTTGGCAAGAATCTTATATATGTGCAAAAATTTGTCGACACAAAAACAATGGGGGATGTATTATCTTTCTATTATGGAAAGTTTTACAGGTCTGATGAGTATCGTAGATGGGCAGAATGCCGAAGATTAAGAACCAAACGTTGCATCAATGGACAAAAGCTTTTCACAGGATGGAGACAACAGGAATTATTATCACGACTATGTTCTCTTGTATCAAAGGAATGTCAAGATACATTGCTTGAGGTATGTTTCCGGCTTCCATATGAACACACACACCAAACCCTTGATCTTTCAAATTTTGCATCTATGTTGTTATTGTTAATTGATCTCAAAGAATCCTTTGGCACTGTAGTTCTACATATCTTCCCTTTCTCTCGGGTACTTGTTTTTTGTGACATGACTTAGTTGGATACCGCAGATTATATTATGCCCATGGTAACTCCTAAAGGAGCTTCAGGGGGTGTTGTTAATGTCATCTGGCATATTAGTTTAGTTGTTAACCTGGACTCTTAATCTTTAGGGTGCTTTTAGGTTACATATGGCATTTCATCATGCATACTGGTAGGTAAATAATAATGGTAAAAGTTTATTGGTGTCCCTGAGATGCATTTTGACACTAGCTTTTGCCATTTACCTGTGGTTTCAAGACCACTTAGATTTGTCCAACATTATGGTAGGTTGGATCTCCTGATCTGTCTGTACATGGTAGGGCCTAAATCTTCTTTAGAGGGTTGTATACTTTTAACATAAAAATTTAGATAAATCTGAGCTTACTATAAAAAAATATAGGAGGAAAAGTATTCACGAAAAAATTGTAGTCTGGAAGAGATTCATGGGATGCACACCTCACATGAATTCCAGAGGATTTCCAGAGAGTTTTCACTGTTTAAGTCCAACCTCTTGGAATAAATTGGGGAAAGGAGAATGCTTTAAGTACTTTTAATGTCATATAAATATTTTTGAACAATATTAAATGTTTATAAGGAGCTTCCACAAGGTTTTCATGCTTGCTGTGAACTTCCTACTGCTTTTCTCACATCAAGCTTTACTTGCTGCTGAACTTTCAAATCTCAGCTGATGTGGCTGAATTTCTGCAGCTATATTTAGTCAATGCTGGAGGCATATACATTTATGCTCATGATTTGTGAATTCTGGCTATTACAGGTTACTAAGAAATTAGCTGAGGGAAATATTACATATGAGGAATATGCATTTGCTATGAAGGATACAGTTGGAATCAGTGCAATTGTAGAAGCAGTAGGAATTGGCAAAGGAAAGCAAGATCTCACTTGTGCTGCCATGGAGCCGGTGAAAACCAACAATGTAAACTCTGTTGGTCCTGAAATACCTGTTGGTAAAGCATGCTCTGCTCTTTCGTCTGCAGACATTATCAAGTTTCTGACTGGAGGTTTCAGGTTAAGTAAAGCCCGATCCAGTGACCTTTTCTGGGAAGCTGTTTGGCCTCGCCTTTTAGCAAGAGGATGGCACTCTGAACAGCCAAAGGATCATGGTATTTCTGGCTCAAGAAATCCCTTGGTGTTTCTTCTACCTGGTGTTAAGAAGTTTTCAAGGAGGAGGCTTGTCAAAGGTAACCACTATTTTGATTCTGTTACTGATGTCCTGAATAGAGTTGCATCAGAACCAGGGCTTCTTGAAATTGAAATTGAAGCGAGTAAAGGCAGTGAAGATAAGGATGAACATAACTGGGATACAACAATTAAACAGGATACCAGTGGCAAGTTAGATAAACGCCATCGTTACCTCAAGCCACGGAGTTCAAATTGCAATAGGGAACCAACAAAGTTTACAATTGTAGATACTAGCTTGGCCCAGGGAGCAGAAAGACGCAGGGTGAGAGAGTTGAGAAGTTTACCTGTTGAGGCTGTTAGCTTGTTCACCCCCTCAAGTCTTTCCAGCGATTCTGGGGACGATACATCTGATGAATCAGATAATGATACAGAAGAAACTAGTACCTCCAATGCTGCAGAAGGTATAGCTGATAGGGCAACTTGTGCAGACTCATCAGATTGTGTTAATAGTATTCCAAATGTTGGCATTCCAAGCACATCCAATACCACCTTTGTGGTAGTGGAAAATCATGAAAGCCATAGCACAAGTCTGCTGGATGACAAACAACAAAGAAAGATTGGGAATGACGATTTTGGCCAGAAGGTGCAGTCTGCCAATTCTAAGTTTCTGGCTCCTATTACCAAACAGCAGGATTCAACTGAATGCATAAATGGAGAATCAAGTTGCAGTATTGATAATACTTTTGCAGACAGGATGTTAAATGGAGAATCAAGCTCACCTGATGCTCTTCAAATGGGACCCCAAAATTTGTCACCTGCCAGCTCTTTGGCTAGAGGCAGTCCAGATGGGAGCAAGGAAGGCACTGTTACCGAAAATTTCCTGCACAAAGCAGAGTCTCCTGAGAAGCCTCATCCTCATACATTGATAGACTTGAACATCAGCCCTCACGTTTCAATGGATTTTGAAACAGAACCAGTCATTACAGAGACAGTGCCTCATACTGACACTTCATTTGCAAACCAGTCATCATTTCTATCTGAAACAAGAGTGCAGCCTGAGCCATCAGGACTGCATGATGAAGAAGGTACGGGGGTCAGTCAACAACCTGCAATGAACTACCGGAGGCAGAGCACTAGAAACCGCCCATTAACCACAAAAGCATTGGAAGCTCTTGAATGTGGGTTCTTAATTCCGAAGAGGAAGAAAAGAGCTTCAGAAGCTCAACCAAACATTTCCCGGCGTGTCCGTAGCAGGCCTGTCGTCAGTTCCATTTTTAGAAATGGTTCAGGCAACTCCAACCTGCAGGAGAATTTGGATGGACTCTGTAGTACCACCACTATGGTTGATCAGTCTCAGACATGATTATTGGAGGAAATGCTACCAATATGGCATCGTGGATGTTTTATGTATTTTGAGTCTCACATTTTTTAAGCTGACTTGAATAAGAACAGATATCTTACTTATATACTAGCTTTTACAGGTTTTCAAATTTCACAATGTACCATATTCCTTCAGTTTTATGATCCAATTGTATCTTTTGAGGAAAACTGTTGGAGTACAAAGGTTCACATGCAGGTGGACTCAAAAGAAGTGTCAAGAATCCCGCGTCAAAGGAAAAATAAGGTGGGTGAAAGAATAAAATATATATATGTGCGTGTGTGTGTGAAGATCTATAAACCTAATAAACATGTGTTTTAAGTTCAAGATGATGTCTCCTTGTGTATGTTCTCAACAAAAACAAATATGCAGAAACTTGAGCTGCATTCTCACCATATATTAGTTTGGCAACCGGGTTAAATTTCCTTTTGGTGAAGAGATATCACGAACACACCTCCAACGCTAAAGGATAGCAATCTTTCAATCACATTTAATAAATAAATAAATAATCATCTTAAAAGAAACCTAATATTTCCCCCTTGTTTCAAAAAAGCAAGAGCACCTTGGACATGGTACCTAAAATATTGAAATTGACATCCAGCCAACGCCTAATTTCTGAATTATTTGCATTTCAATATGTGAAAGTGAATCAAACTTCTCAAATTTTTTATTAATTTTATCAAAATTTAAATTTAAAATCACTAATTTAAAATTTTGTATTCAAAACCAACAAAGAATAGTCAATTTTGGAGCTCAATTTTGCACGGTGATATGGTCAGAGCAAGGACCCCATGGCATGGCCAAAGGTCCCATCTCAAGCCTGAAGCTTTGGGGCCTGGGGGCATTGTTGGTGGCAGATCCCACAAGGGCGGTGGTGATGATGACATTAATCATGCAATTGTAGAGCAGCAATTGTTACTCTTTCACAAATCCTTTTAATCTCTTCCTACCTTTTAGATCATCTTTTTTTGAGTCAAAAAGGTGTTGGATTCTTTAAAGATCTTTCCTTTTCCCTCCAATACTCTGATCCAGTGCTTTTCTTTGCTTGGTCCAATTCACATTTCCAAACTCTAAATTTTAAAACATAATTATTAGTTTTAACTTGATTTTATAATTTTTTAAATTTAAATTTTAGATAAAAATTTAATATATTATATAAATAATAATTAATTTTTTTAATCAAATAAGAATACTCAAAATTTTCATATAGGAAAAAAAATTAATTGAACCCCTTCGTGTGGTTTAGTGGATGGGTCACGTTCCTCCATAAAAAACAGATGGAGTTCACTCAAGTTCAATTCTCCTTATGAACTGAACAGATACTAACTTTTAACCATTGTTTTCCTTATCAAAGAAGAAAATAAGAAAAAAATTAATTATTTTTTATTTAAATTATTAAAATTTCATTTAAAATTTATATTTAAAAATAAAAAATTAAACTATAATTACTAAAAATGAAAAGAAATAGTATATTAAACTAAGATTCAAGTGTAGTCTAAGTATCAGAATTATTAACGTATCTTTAATAAGTTAACATAAGAAAGAGCCTCAATAAAAGTCCTTCAATAAATTTACACTTTTTTTATATAGTTGAAATTGAAAAATCATTTTTACATTCAAAAAATGATATTGAAGTTTTACAGTTCTTTCTGCCTAAGAAAATAAAATTCTCTTTTTTGAATTGGAAAAACAGATGATGAATGTTCGTGCATTTCTTATTCATTACGGTACTTTTGTCCTTTCATATTCCAAAGTTGAAATTTATCTTTTTCTTTTTCTTTCTTTTTTTTTTTTTAGAATGAACAACAAAAAAAACTTTTTTGAAAAAAATAAGAAATTGATTCCAATCATGTTTTGATTGATGTTAGGATTTGCACAGCTGCAAACTATTCCCAAACCTGCAAAAATGAAGCAATTTCTCTTCTTAGCCCCTCAAATGGAGCTAGGTTATATTGCCATCATCCAATTAGTTAACTTTATTAATTTAATTATAATTTTATTAGTTTATATTTTAAATAATTAATTATAATATTTAAAAATATTAATTTATAAATTAATTTTTATTTATTAAATAATAAATATTAATCATTTTATTAATTATTTTTAATAATTAAATAAAATAAAAAATTTGATAATTATCAATAATCTTAATAAATTAAATAGTAACCACAACCATCACTACTCAATTGACACAACTTTTTGAAACTTTTTTAATACATTACTCTTAATCAAACTTCAACGTCGATATCAACGAAGAAATTAAGAATCATTCGTATACAATCTTCTACAATAAACATCATTTCCATTATCCATGATTAACAATTACAAAAATAAATAAATATATAAAAAAAATAAAGTAGAAGAAAGAAGAAGAAAATGAATACCAGATATTCAAAGACCAGAGCCGTTTGTTTTGTTGTTCTTATCCAAAGGATTGCTTAGCTTATGTCAACTTGCAAAATAAATAGACCTAAAAAATGAAAGGATTTAATTTGGGGACACTAAGGCATCTCTAAATGCTGCTTGGGTCCTTTTTCATTTAAAAGCCAAAACATTAAAAAATCGAGAAAAATAAGTAAATGTGTTGGAATTAATGTTATTTGCGTCTTTACGCTGTTGTGTTGATGATAATTTGATGGCATGAATTATATCAACGGTGGTATTATAAGGATAATATTTTTATATATTTTTTATATAATTTTTATATGTTATTAAATAATTAAATAAATTTTATATTATAAATTTTATATTAATTAAAAAAATTAATTATTTAAATAACACATCAAATTATATAAAAAAATAAAATAAAAATAAGATAAAAAAATTATTGTTCTTTATCAAACTGAAATCGATGAAAACTAGGAAAGTAGCCATCCGGATTTGTCTTGAATGGTAGTTGGTGATGAAATTATATAATGCAATGATGAAGAATAATCTGTTGAATATATTTGACTGTAGTTTTATACTATTTTAGAGTCGGTTTGACTTAACTGTAATTTTTGTAAGAACGTAACTTAAGTAGTACTTTTCGTAAAAATATTGAGTTATGAATTTATATAAAATAATTATAAATTTTTTTTATAAATAAACAAAAATTATCACACATAAGTGTTTACCAATGAAATATATATGAGATTAGTGCATATTAGTTTTAATTTTTTAAAAAAAATTAAAATTTCAATCTATGTTTAAAATTTAAAATTTTAATTTAAAATT